GGACACCATCATCATCAGCATCATCAACATCATCAGCATCATCATCATCATCATCATCATCGGAACAAAATCATCATCACCACCGTGGCCATCATCATCACCATCATCATCCCCACCATCATCACCATCATCGAGACACCATCATCGTCACCATCATCATCAACACCATCATCATCGGGACACCATCGTCATCATCACCATCATCGGAACACCATCATCATCATCATCATCATCATCATCATCATCTCATCTTCGTCATCATGAACAACATCATCAACATCACCAACACCGGGACACCATCATCGTCAACACCACCACCATTGGGACACCATCATCATCGTCACCATCATCATCATCACCATCATCATGGTCATCATCCGGACACCATCATCATCAACAACATCAGTATCATCAACATTTGGCCACCACCATCAAACTCATCATCATCACCCCATCATCAACAGCATCATTTGCATCATCATCATCATCGGGACACCATCCACGTCATCATCATCAACATCATCATCATCGGGGCACCATCATCATCACCGACATCATCATCAACAGCATCATCACCAACCTACTAATCATCATCGTCATCATCATCATCATCGGGACACCATCATCATCATCAGCATCATCATCATCGTTATCATCATCTCATCATCTCACCATCATCAACAACAGGATCACCAACATCATCGTCATCATCATTGGGACACCATCATCACCATCATCATCAGCAGCAGCAAGATCAGCATCATTAACACCATCATCACCGGGACACCATCATCATCACCACCATGGCCATCATTATCATCATCATCATCATCATCATCATCATCATCATCAACATCAACATCGTCATCATCATCGTCATCATCATCACCATCATCATCATCATCATCATCATCGGGACACCAGCGGGACACTGGCGGGACACCGCGCGGCACCGGTTGCCGGAAGGGAGACTTTTAGTCCGGCCGCGCCTCAGCCAGAGGCGTGACATTTCTCGCCTGCCCACGCAGCTTCGCCTCGCCCGCACGCACGGCACGCACGAACAAGAAACCGAAACCGATTTCCCGGTAGGGGAGCTCTCCGTTCCACTTCGATCTCACCCCCTCACCTCCGATATATGAAGAGCGCGAGAGAGAGAGAGAGAAAGAGAGACAAAGCGAAAACACATATCATGGGTTGCATATATGTGTGCAAGACTGCATTGGCGCTGCGCGCCATGCACTTTGGTCCGTCAGGTTCGGCATGCAGGCAGGTTTGGCAATCAGGCAAAACGGAACATTTAGCGATAGATCGTTGTTGCATGTTTGGCATCGTCTTGGTATTTGTTTTATTCGCTATCCTTCCTTCATGTTTCCTCTTTCTCTCCCTCATTCTCGCCCTGCCCTGTGAGTTCGCCCCCATCCTCAGCTCTTCGTGCGGATGCTTATCATTCGAGAGCCTCTTGTAAGCCCCACGAAGGTTTTTAAGGGCTTGTTATGTGGTCAACTCGGGGAACTGTAGAACGTCTTCGGATTAGTTGTTCTTTGACGAGCGCTTGCGGTTCCGATGGGGCCAGCGGTCTCACTCGCGCGCCCATGGTTTCACGGAGGTCGGCGACCCCGAACCCTGATTTACATGCCCGTGGCCCAGATGGGGCTACACGGCCACTACGTGCCACTCAATGTTAATTCTCGGAACCACTACGGGCCACGAAGTGCCACTGCATGGTAATTTTCGGAACCACTAACGGGCACTAAGTGCCATTAAGTGGTAAATCTCGGGCTACTAAGTGCTGCAAACTTATAATTTAATTCTCGGAGCCACTAACGGCCATCAGGTGGCACCAAATGGTTATTCTCGGAGCCATCAGCGACCACTAAGTTTCATTAAATGGTACTCCTCGGAGCCAGCAGCGGCCGCTAGGTGCGACGAAATGGTAATTATCGCGGCCGCTGAAGGCCACTAATTGCCACTAAACGGCCACTGCAGGCCGCTAAGCGGCCACTAAGTGCCACTAAATGGTAATTCTCGGCGGTCGCGATGGTCAGTCCGAAGTCCCCCAGAAAGCCCACATACAGCTTGTTGGGGCCTTCTGGAAGCCTCCCAGGTTCCTTCCGTGTGCCTTCCCCAGGCCACCCTGCTTCCAACCGCGGTCTCCCTAAACGAACGGGGCACGACTTGGAATGATTCGTGAGGCGTTTTGGGGCCATCTTGGGCCGTCATGGGGCTCTCCTCGGGCCATTTGTGGGCCTGGTGGGCCGTCCTCCTGGACTGCCTGACAGCCCTATTGTTCAAGCTTGTGCGATGATCTGGCCTCCTGAGCGACCTCGGTCGCCCGCAAGACCGAAGCACTGAGCATTCCTAAAATCATGCAAGACCATCGGATCTGACTTTTTTGTTGCGTTTGACATGCCTCTTGGAGGTCTTCTTTCGGTCGTTCCTAGGCCATTGGTGGGTATCTGCCGTCCGGCCGCCCTCCTGACCGATCTGGGCCTGTTGCATGGGCCCAGGACGGGCTTCAGGAGCCCCGGAAAGCACAGTGGACCGTCTGAGAGGGCGTCCAGGGTGCCCCCGGGGGCAAGGATCCAGAGGGGTTCTGTTTAGGAGGGGGGGAGTGCAGGATCCCAGATAATATAAATCAAGAATGAAACATACAAAAAACATTCACATGTATGTATACACCCATATATACTCTATCGGTATATTCATGTATGTCTGTCTGTCTGTCTGTCTGTCTGTCTGTCTGTCTGTATGTATGTATGTATGTATCTATGTATCTATGTATCTATGTATATATGTATATATGTATTTATGTATCTATGTATGTATGTATGTATGTATGGATGTATGTATGTATGTATGTATGTATATAAATATACACATATATATACATATATAAATGTATATATATATATATATACACACTACCCCCGTGCACGAGGCCCGGTGGCCTGGGACCGCGACCTCGACAGGGCATGGGGGGACGGGGCGTCGTTATCCCTGTGTTTTTTTGTTGGGTTTCGGCGGCCCGGGGCCAACAGGGCCCCCAGAGGCTGCAGACGCCTTTCAAGACGACTCCCATGACGCCAAGAAAGCCCCCGAGAGCCCCGAAGACGCCCCAAGGGCACCCCGAGAGAGGCCCAGTAAGCAAAAATCGTCGATTTCCGATTGGGAAACTGAATTTTTGGGCGTGTTTGCCTTTTCGGCGTCCACTGCATCAAAGACGGCCCAAGAGGCACCCAAGCCGGTCGAGGATGCCCCCAAGAGGGCCCTAAAGCGGCCCACGAGGGGGCAGAGATGGCCCATTAGGCGCCCAAGCCGCCCAAGAACTCCCCAAGGCGGCGCCCAAGACGGGGACGAGGAACCGGAAATTCTGGCTTTTCGGCACAAGAGACCCCCAGGAGACCCCAAGAGGCTCCAAGAAGGGCCAGGGCATGGGAGGACCAGGGAGGGCCTCCAGGCCCCCCCCGAAACGCTACCCCAGGGTCCAAGGAGGTCTCCAAACGTCCAAGAGAACCCAGAATCCCCGAATCGTTGCTCCAAGACGCCGAAGATGGCTCCCAGACGGCCTCTGGGAGCCCCCACGACGGCCCAAGAGTCCCCCAAGGGGTCGGCGGATTTGCGCGCTATATTGTTGTTTGAAAGTTCCGTGCGGGACATCTTCGCAAGTGTTAGAACCGGACACGCCCCTCGCGACGTCATTGTCATTTAGCTAGATGGTTTTCAACATGTTCGCCAGCGATGCTCAAACTCACAATGACCTTACAACACTTCGTATATATTAACTAGAAGGCATGGTTGTGTTGTTATGCTACTCTCCACACGTCACCCTGATCGCAAGCTGTGGCAACCCCGTCGGTGATTGGCGCCCTCCTTCCCAATTGCACTCGCTTTCCATGCGGTGTCTCCCATCGGTGACCCTTTTATTCCTGAACAGAGCTTGCACTTAGGGGTTCTTACTGGATGGACCCGGCGAGGATCTTCCACGTTGCCACTCGTGGCCGCCTCGTGTCCGCCTCGTGCGTTGGGTGGGCCCGGCTAGGTATCGCCACGTTGCCGCCCGTGGCCGCCCCGTGGCCCCCACGTGCGCGGGGAGGTTCCGGCGAGGTTTCGCCACGTTGCCGCCCGCCTCGCAGACGCTCGCAGGCGCTCCGTGCCCTTGGTGGGTCCGCCGAGGTTTCGCCTGGTGCTCGTCCGTGGGTGCCTCCTGGGCGCCCCGTGTCCTGGGTGGGTAACGTAGTCCACACAACATAGATTACCGGCACAGCTTGCACAACATAGCTCACACTACACAGGTCTCATCGCATCAGTTACACGGTGCAGCTCACACCACGTCGTTTACAATAGATCTTATCTTGTAGCTTAATTCTATTGCTGAGGCCACATAACCTACTCCGCATAGCCTTCGTTTCAACGGTGCAATGACTCATTAGGTGGGTTCCTCGCTGGCTACCCTCTTCTGTTCAAGTTCAAGTGCACTCGCCATGGGACGCCGCCCTAATCGCAAGCCGTGGTGACCCAGCGGCGACCCCCGCTTTAAATTGCAATCGTTATCGCAGCCCCCGCTGCGTGAGTTTACATTATGCAGCTGGTTTTGTATGAGCGTTGTCTCGCACGTGCCACTTTTGCCCATGTATGTATACACATGTATGTATACAGATCGCACAGATGCACAGGAAAATATATCTATATATATATATATATATTGGGTGTATATATATGTATGTAACTATCAATATATATATATATATATATATATATGTACAGAGGGTCTGGGCCCCTAAGAGACTCCTCGGGAGTCAGGACTGATGTTCGGGGGATCAGGCGAAGAACCTGAGGACGCGCCCACTCCGTGCTTAGCGGCACTGCGGCGGACGTTTCATTGCAACGCTTTCGAGCATGGTGCAACGCCAGCGCTCTTCAACCTGGTTTGCCGGCAACCCCCTTGGCCGAATCCTGGCTCTTCGATCTCAGCTCTCCTTGCCTCAACGCTGTTCCACAACAGCTTTGGCCCAAGCGAAGCTGACTGCAGCGACGGGAACGGCGCGGCTGCAACCAGACGGCCCCCGCCAGGTCGCCCCGCGAGCACGATGGCCCTCATCTCGAAGGTCCTTGCCATTGCCTCATTGCTCTACCTCGCCAGCTCTGTTACATGGATCCCTGTTGGCCCTGAAGGCAGCCAGTGCGTGGTCGAGGACGATTGTGGTGCGGGAGGAGCAGAAGAACAACAAACGGCATAAACATAACAACCTTCGGAGGTCCGCGCGAGTTTTTGTCGGATCGGCGCTGGGGCCCTCCGGCGGCGCCCGCGCGCCAGGGAGGCGGGTCAGCGCGGATCCGAGAAATCCGCGCGGAGTTCCGGAAGCTGTATGTTTATGCCGCTTAGTGGTTTCTCTGATGAGGCATCGGTGCTGCTGGTGATGACCCGAATGCTATTTGCCCCGACAACAAGGATTGTTTCTCGAGGATCTCCGATGCCGTCACCAGCCTCATGAACGACGATGGGGGATCCAACCCGGTGGACCCTGACAGCCTCTGCGCGCAGTCGCTGCAGGTGGTAATGGCGGACTGTGCGGAATGCTGGCGCTGCAACAAACCACTTTCTGGCAATGTACGCCTCGATGCCCTGCCCGAGGCTCAGACGAGGAACAGGTATCGATGCCGCTGGCGCTGGAGCCGATCGCCCCAGAGATCCCTCGTCGCCACGGCTGGACTCTCCTCGGACTTCAGGTCAGAACGTGCCTTGGGAGAGGTCCGAGCAGCAGCGGTGGCGGTACCTGTTGGCATCCCCAATGATGGTCCTTCGATTTCCCCCTTTGGACTCGCTGGGCGGCAGATGCCGCGCAGCGTTTGCCGCCGGCGCGGCCGCAGTGGCGTCCGTCGTCGAGGTCGCAGCGGCGGCCTCGGCGGTCGCCGCGGCGCGGGCGGTTCGGAAGGTGGAGGTCGAGAGGGTAGCGGTTCTTTCTTGTCCCCCCAGAGGCCCTGCCAGGGACCGCGGCGGGCCCTCCCGTGGTGGTGGCGGCCGCGGCGGTCGCCTCGCTCGCGGCGGCGCTGGCGGGGGCGGTGGCGTGGCGCGGCCGGCGCGCTGCGCCTGCAGTGGCGCGCAGCGCGTTGGTGGCGGAGGGGCAGGGCGAGGATCGGAGGAGGAGAAGGTACCGATGCCGCCACCCTTGCCTCGCTTTTGCCTGTTTCGTGCTTCCTGGGAGGCCCTCGTCGCCACCGCTGGGTTCGCCTCGGGCTCCTGGTCAGGACGCGCCCCGGGAGAGGTCCGGGCAGCAGCGGTATCGGCACTGCGCCGATCCCCCAGAGGACGCGCCGATGGTGGAGGGCGGCAGCGGGGCAGCGTCGGCCCCCTGAGGGCGGGAGGAGCGCGAGAACTGCGCCGGGTGATTCCCACCGGAAAACGCGCATTTTTACGATAGGTATCGCTTCGGCGTCGACCACGTCGAAGACGGCCCCAGGAGCCGACCAGATCGCCCCAAGACGGCCAAAGAGAGTTCCAAGAGGCCTCCAAGGCGGCTCAAGAGGGGCCCTCGACTGTCCAGGGGGCCCCCAAGACACTCCCAGGGGGCCTCGGGGCAGCTTCCCCACACAGCCCCGAGGGGTACCCCACCCGACATTTCGAGCCATCCTCCCCAAAAAGCACCCCGGAGACCCCAAGAAATCTTCAAGAGCCCCCGAAACAAAAACCCAAGCGGGCCCCACGGGCCCGCCAGGAAGCCCCAAGAGGCTCCCAAGAACCCCCTCCCCAGACCCCCTGGCCGATCCCGAAGCTTCCGGACAACTCTCGGCATCCTGACGCGGGCCCCAGGACCGTCAAACATTTGGGACGAAACTCCAGGCCTATGGAAATTGCCCGGACCTCGGGGCCACTCCAGGGGTCGTCGACATCGTCGTCGTGGTGGTGGCGGTCGTCGTCGTCATGATCGTCGTCGTCGTCGTCATCGTCGTCGTCGTCGTCGTCGTCACTCGTCGCCGCCCTTGTCGTCGTCGTCGACGTCGTCGTCGTCGATGATCACACGAGCGAAAACGAGAGCAGCAAAACGTGGCGCAGACGTGACTAGAGCCTAAGCGCGCGAAGCGCGCGTGGTTCTCTCTCGTTCTCTCTCTAACTCCCTCTCTCTCTCTCTCTTTCTCTCTCTCTCTCTGTAGATATATACATATATATATACATGTATGTATACACCTAGACATACATACAAGTGGCACGTGTGTGCCCAGGCTCATACAAAAAGCTGAAAGGTCGTGTGGAGGGACAGAGAAGGACGAGAAGAGGAGGAGGAGGAGGAGTATAGCTGCTGGGAGTGAAGTGCAATAGCGGGGTCGCACTCGAGCGCAAGCGATGTGTGTACCACAGGCCCCCAGGAAACCACAGGAGGTCCGACCAGGATGCCAGAAAATATCCCAGGAGGCCCCTGGAGGGGTCGTCTGCGCTCGAAGTTGCGAGGATGTCCGTGGCTGCCGCAAGAGGCTCCAGGAGGCCCGACCAATGGGGTACCAGAAGGTACGTCGGCTCTCGATTTTCGGAGGGCGTCTCAGGCGAAACCGCCATTCTTTGAGAATCGGGGTCGAAACCATTGAAATTACATTGTGGTTTTGAAGGTTTGATGTTAGAATGTTGAAATTCCCATGTGTTTTTGGATCCTGACGTCACGACCTGTCTGAGGGGTGTCACCGATTTTCAGAATTTCGGGGATGTCCCTGGCGAAACGGACAGACAAATCGTGGACGCGGCGCGACCTTCAATTCATCGCCTCTGAGCTCTACGCTCTGGGAGAAGTGCGTATGAGAACACACATCTATAATCTATACATATGTTTATAATCGTGATGACATTCGCGTTCGCAACGACATTTCTGTTTGCACGAAGGTAGTCGCATTTCTCACGGCTACAATGCTAGCAATGTTTTCGGTTTCAAAGGCGATCGTTGTGTGGATGTGTAGCATGTGATGGTATCACTTCATCCATAAAAAAGGCGGCGTTCGGCGAAGCATGGTCTAACATGGGTTGGTTCAAGGTCCTGGTTTTTGTCTGGTCGTTGGCCCAATTACGTATGGCGGGGGCTCTGTGGCCATGTCTCAATTACCAGCAAACAATTGATTCAGAAGACGATGGTGAGTAGGAAGTACTGGCGGAGGAACTCGAATTCAAAGCGCTGGCGGTGCGCTCCTTCGGAGCACATGCTCGTAGGTGGGAATGAGATGGTCGACGGAGGAGACAGGAAGAGGAGGGCGAGGAGCGCAGGTGGTTCAAATGTACCCGTTATCTTGTTCTCCTCGTGAGACGGTTTCGCTACCGGTGCTAGGTCAGGTAAAAAGATTGTCCAACCTTGAAGGGGTGCAGCAGGGAGTTGTGTTGCGAGTTGCGCAAGCTAAAGAGTTATCTAGTCCCTGGGATTGACTTCCATTTAAAATGAGCAAGCAAGCACTCTGTAGAGGTTGGGGTAGACTTGGATGAGTGAATCAAGAGGAGGAGATGAAGAACCTCAGGTCTTAATACCTGTTGCCTGTTTCTAAGTTGCAGCACGGTTTAATTTTTCCATCTTGCTGCACGAGCGTTGCGCGACCGCGACGCACCATCCCCGTGCGTGAGGTCGTGTGCGCGCGCGGCCGGCCCATCCGCACTCTGAGGCTGGACCTTGGCCTCGAGGCGGACAGGGTCAAGATCAATACCTCTCTCCTTCTCCCTTCATCTTGCCCCCTCCTCAAGGGTAAACGCTGTTGTATCTCCCAGCAGCCGTGTCCAGGGGGATGGATGTTGGCGAAGAGGGGGCTGGCCGGGGGAGGCGAGTGCAAGGGCGGGCTGCCCTTGCATGTCCCGACTGTCCGAGACGAGGGCCGGACACCCAACCGGAAGCCTTTCGTGGCAAGCAGCGGGAATTTGGCAAACGGCTGCATTCCGCTGCCATCCACAGGACTTGCATTCAGCAGTGCCACGCCGTGGAGAGAGAGAGAGAGAGGCTCCTGGGGTCCATCCTGGCCCGTTTTCCGATCCTCGTCCAGCCTTGGCGACGTGGGCGGCCGTCGTCGGCCTAAAAGAATGGCGCCTGCCGGCGCTTCCAGGCCCTCGGGAAAAAGGTCTCGCCGCGAGCCGGGGGCGCCCACGATCCCCGCGAGCAGGAGGCCTGCAGCCCGTCGAGGCAATGTTCCGTCTCGCCATGTAGAGGCTTCCTGTCCGTGGCCACACGATGGATTGGACCCGACCCGCATGCTTCGGGCCGGGCGAAATGGGGGGGATTGGGAAAGGGGGGGTTGCGAAATTTGCTGCATGCAGCTGGTTTCGGCCCCACCGAGGGGCCCACTCCTCGATACATAGCTCCATCCGGCCAGCTACGTGAGCTGATTCTCAACCCCCCCCTTTGCTATCCCCCCCTTTCGCCCGGCCCGACTGCTGCCCCAGGTTGTCCGGACTCCCTTCGGGTCTGGGGATTTTTGGTTTCTTACACGCTTGCGAGGGAGTCCGAACTGACAAGGTCTCCTGGTGGGCCTGGTCTGGTCCGTCTGGTAGCTGCCAGTGCGGAGGACCCGAGGGCACTCTACTCAGCGCCTGCGGCACGGGGGCGGGTTCACGCTTCTGGGCCCCCTCCTCACCCATCCTGGCCCGTTCTCCGAGCCGCGCCCAGCCATGGCGACGACATAGGGCCCCGCAGGCCGAAAACGAGCAGGTGCATGGACCGCGCTCCCCGAAGGCGGCGAGAGGCGCACTGACACTGTCCAGTCACTCCTTGCCAGCCTGAAGCACATCCCCATCCCTACAGTTGGCATGACCCCATCAGTAGTGCTGACGTCAAGGGCCCCCCTGCAGCTTCTGAGAGCACATCTCCAACACTGTCGTCGCCTTTGGCTTGCCAATCCTGGGATCGGGCCGTGCTGACGCGTCCAGAGACCCCAGAAACGCACAAAACGCCCCAAACGTGCAATCGTCCGATCACGTCCACTGACGACGACTACCGCCGCTACGACCATCACGACGACCACCACGAGGATCATCACGACGGCGGTGGCGGCTGCGGCGGCGGCGGCCGCGGGGGCGGCGGCGGCGGCGGCCTGGCGGCCCGGACCCTCTTTGGCCCTCTTGGGCCACCGTGGCGGCCACGGCATTTGCGCAGTCTGGGAAACACTCGCAGTGTTCCGACGCGTCGGGCGTCACGGTTCCGCGGCCGCGCACGGAACTCGCGGCCGTCCCTTAGAAGGCCCAGCACCTCCACGCGCCAAAAGCGGCTCCTGCTTGGGAGACCTCTCGTTTGGTAGCTTGGGGTTCGTGGAGTCGCGCAAGGTCCGCTGGCAACGATTGCGCAGTTGGCTAGAACCTAAGCGCGCGTAGCACGCATGGTTCATACATATATAGATATGTATGTATGTATGTATGTATGTATGTATGTATGTATGTATGTATATGTATATATATATATGTATATGTTTATTTATGTGTAAATGTATATGTGTATGTGTATATATACATATACGTAAGGGTGTCACTCGCTTCCGCGGGCCCTCCTCTTTATCATCATGGGATATATCAGAGTTGCGTCGGTGCGTCTCGGCGCTGCATTGGCGCATCTGGGAACATGCGGGGGCAGAAAGGAATCATCAGTGCAGATTAAGACGTTGGCGTTATCGAAGACGGCTACGGCGAATCACCGCCCCCGCCTGCAATTTGAAATCGGCCATGTGGCCGAGCGTTGTAGCAAGAGGTGTGCAAGTTATCGGACCATGCGTCCCCCCAGCCGTTGTGGAAAATAGTCGGGGAACACTTTGGGAAGGATGGCGGGGAAGATCAGGAGGAGAAGGACCCGTGCAAACTCAAAAGTCATCAACGATGTTGAACTGAACCGTCCTTCCAAGCTCCCTCTTCGTAGGCCCCTACAATGGTTCATTTCCATTGAGGGAATTGCCTCGTTGGAAGACATCCGTTTGAAGACTTTCAAGCATGCCAGAACTTTGCGCTCGGGATGTCCACGCCACGGATCAACCTGACTGCTGCGTCCTGACGATCTGGAATCGCCGCAGAAGACCAGTTTTGGGAGTTCAGCACCGCGAGCCAACATAACTGTTGCATCCGCACACTCATGAATCATTCCACAGCATCATATCTGGAACGCTGACCATGGGAATCCGTGGAACTCTTGCACATGTTTAAAACATAATAATGTGCGCGGCGCTCAGGCGAGAGCCACATTTTGAAAACGGCCCGCCCTCCATCCGTGAAGCTGTCGCATTTTTTTTAGTGCGCGGCGCCCAGGCGAGAGCCACATTTTGAAAACGACCCGCCCTCAATCCGTGATGCTCTTGCACATTTGAAAAACGAACGTGCGCGGCGCTCAGGCAAGAGCCACATTTTGGAAAGAAAAAGCCCTCAACCCGCGAAGCCCCTGCCATTTTTTGATAGAATGTGCGCGGCATTTTGAAAGCGACCCGCCCTCAATCCGTGAAACTCCTGCACATTTTGAAATCGAATGTGCGCGGCGCTAAGGCCAGAACCACATTTTGAAAACCACCCGCCTCCATGTGTGAAACGGTTGTCATGTTTTAAGTTTCGGAGTCGTAAGCGGTGAGGAATTATCAGGCGCAACGCCCGGCCCGCTCTAAAGAAAAGGAATGAATGAGGAGGAATAGAGGGAGGAGGAGGAGGAGGAGGAGGGGGAGAGGAGGAGGAGGAGGATGAGGAGGAGGAGGAAGACGAGGAGGAGGAGGAGGACCAGTGTAAACCCAAGAGTCACCAACGATGTTGGAATACACCCTCCCCCCAAGCTCCCATGCATAGGCCCCTGCAACGGTTCATTTCCACAGGGCGACTTGCCTCGTTGGAAGACAACCGTTTGAAAACCCTGAATCATTCCAAAATATTATTCTCGGCATTCCAACGCCAAGGAGCAACTTGATTGTTGCGTCTTGACGATCCTGAATCGCACCAGACTGCCAGTCCTGGAACTTCAACACAGCAAATCATCGTAGTTGTCGTGCCTTCTTAGTCGTGAGTTCTTACAAACACCATTTGTGGTGCGTCTATGCTGGGAATCCGCGAAACTTTTAAACTTGTTTAGCAAGAGGAGTGTGCACGGCGCTAAGGCGAGAGCCGCATTTTGAACAGGAACCGCCCTCAATCCGTGAAGCTCTTGCACAGTTTGAAAGCGAATGTTCGCGGCGCTAAGGCGAGGGCCGCATTTTGAAAACGACCCGTCCTCAATTCGCGAAGCCCCTGCCATTTGTTCAAAACGAATGCGCGCAGCGCTAAGGCGAGAGCCACATTTTGAAAACGACCCGCCCTCAATTCGTGAAGGTCTTGCAGATGTTTAAAACGAATGTGCGCGGCGCTAAGACGAGAACCACATTTTGAAAGCCACCTGCCTTCAATCCGTGAGATTCTTGCAAATATTGCAGTGGCCTCCGGCCAGTGCCGCCGATCCGGAGCGCTTTTGATGATGGGCGATGACGACAACAGGCGACCAACGGTGGACCAGTGGGATCATTACGACGACGACCGACGAACGGGTTAACGACGACGGTTGACGACGACGATGACAACGACGAAGCCGACGTCGACGACGACGACCACGACGTCGACGACGACGACAACTGACTGCGAAAGGTTGCCGACGGCCGACGACGATGACGACGACGACGACGACTGACGGCGAACGGCTGCCGACGGCCGGCGACCGACGACTGGTGACGACGACGAGGAGGAGGACGAGGAGGAGGAGGAGGAGGACGAGGAGGCTGATGATGATGATGATGATGATGACGATGACGGTGACGTTTACGATTATCGAAGACTCTTACGGCGAATCACCGCCGCCCCCTGCCTTTTTTGGAAGTGCCTATGTGGCCGAACGTTGAGGCCAGACCGGCCAAGCTATCAGATCATGTGTTCCCCGAATCGGTTTGGAAAGCCTTCGGGGAACACGTGGGCATCTTGAAGGTCATCTTTGCCGCCGGGAGGCCATTTTGACCCTTTCGGGCCTTCTTGGAGGACGTCTTGGAGGGCATGGCCGTCTTGGAGGCCTTTTTGAGCGTCTTGGAGGCCTCTTGGGCTGTCTTTGGGGGCCTCTTGGGGCCGTCTTGGGCCTATTGGGCCATCTTCGGGGACACTTGGGCCGTCTCGGGCCGTCGGAAGGCCGAACAAAAAAAATGCCACAATCCATTAAACAAACTCATGGGAAATCAATGATCTTGGCCTTTTCGGGCCTTCCTGGAGGCCCTCTTGGAGGCCCCTGGGGCCGTCTTGGGCCATCTTCGGGCCATCTTCGGCCGTCTTGGTGGGCTCTTGGCCCGTCCGACGCCGTCTGAAGCCGTTTGGGGGGCCTCTCTGGGCCGACTTGGGGCCCTCTTGGAATGCTCCAGGGCCGTCTTGGAGGCCATCTTGGGTGTCTTAAAGGCCTCCTGGGCCGTCTTGGGGGCCTCTTGGGGCCTTCTTGGCCTCTTGGGCCGTTCTGGGCTCATCTTGGAAGCCTCTTGGGCTATCTTTTGGCGATCTTTGGGTGCTCGTGGGCCGACTGGGGCCGTCGGAAGGCCGAAATTTCAAACTCCTTCAAACACCTTGGGCAAATCCATGTGTTTAGCCTTTTTCTGGCCTTCCTGGAGGCCCTCTTGGAGGCCTTTTGGGCAGTCTTGGGCCAGCTTCGAGCCAACTTCGGCCATCTTGGTTGGTGCCTGGCCCGTCTGACGCCGTCGGGAGCCGTTTTGGGGCCTCTCTG